TGGTGCTTCAAAAACAGCGGTGAAGATCCTTAAATTAGGTTTTTACTGGCCTACATTGTTTAAGGATATATTTGAATTCGTGAAAAGGTGTGACCGATTTCACCGCACCGGTAATATATCCAGGGAAAACGAAATGCCTTTGAACAGTATCATAGAGGTGGAACTATTTGACGTCTGGGGGATCGACTTCATGGGGTCATTTCCCCCATCATTCTCTAATCAGTATATATTGGTGGCTATGGATTATGCATTGAAGTGGGTAGAAGCCGTTGCATTGCCTACCAACGATGGGAAGGTGGTGATTGATTTTCTAAAGAAAAATATTTTCACCCGCTTTGGAACTCCGAGAGTTATAATCAGTGACGGGGGTAAACATTTCTGCAATCGGCAGTTTGAACAGCTGTTGACTAAATATGATGTTAAACATCGTGTAGCCACTGCATATCATCCCCAAACCAGCGGACAGGTCAAAGTGTCCAATAGGCAATTGAAGCGAATACTCGAAGTCACGGTAAGCTCGTCACGAAAAGATTGGTCTAAGAAACTGGACGACGCCTTGTGGGCCTATAGGACTGCATTCAAGACCCCTATAGAAATGTCACCATATCGACTGGTTTTCAGGAAGGCATGCCACTTACCTCTTAAGATAGAACACCATGCTTACTGGGTAATGAAGAAATTGAATTTGGACTTGAAGGCTGCGGGCGAAGAATGTCTACTACAACTTAATGAGCTGGATGAGCTCAGAAGGGAGGTCTACGAGAATTCAAGACTCCACAAAGAACGCACCAAGAAGTGGCATGATATGCATATTCAGAGGTGTGAATTTAAGGTGGGGTAAAAAGTGCTACTCTATAACTCTAGGCTTAAACTGTTCCCAAGAAAGCTTCGATCGAGATGGTCTGGTCCATATACTATTACACAGGTATTTCCACATGGGGCAGTTGAGATCACTCACGACAGCAAGGGGACATTCAAGGTTAATGGACAGTGTTTGAAGCACTATTGGGGCAACAATTTTTCAAATGAAAAGTCTACCGTTCATCTTGGACCACCAGAATGACGTAACACAGTAAAGTCGAGCTATCGATTATAACCTAGAGCTGGGTGGGAGGCAACCCATTGCATCCTTCTATTTATCTTACTTTTCACAGTATTTTAAGAATCATTTAATTTTCGCATTTGCATTTTTCTCGGTCATCATTCATCTATGCATGTTATAGGATCAAATTATCGTCCACATAATCTTCTAGGCATTACACACATGTTCGGTGAGTTTGAAATGATTTTGGGTGATTGGAAGTATAATTCACGCTATTTAAGACAAAAGAACGTTTCTTTTTTTAAGGAAAAAAATTAGATCATGCGGTCGCACAGTGCGACCGCACAATCATCATCCGGAATTCAAGTGGCCAAGGCCACTTGAACCATGCATGGCAGAATCTGGTGTGGGATTTTAACCCACGCCCGGTTCCTCCTTCACACTACCAAAATTTTTTTACTCTCCTCTCGAACACAAGGCAAAATTGACAACAAATTCACTACACACAAAAGACACCCATTTGCAATCCCCCAATCTTCACGCCGTGCATCAATCACCACACTTACAAAACAAGGTAATTTCTTCCCTCCCTCTCGTTTTTTTTTTCATTTGGGTAATCTATGGTTTCCTATTTCATTTTGATGGACTTGTGGGAGAATGGGCAATAGGTAATCAATGGTTTGTGTGTATGAATTTGGGTTGTGTTATGGATTGGTGGCACATTCAAACTTTAGTATTTTCTATGGTTCACACGGAATGCATTCTACATATTTGATGAATTGCCGACATGAAGTTTGTCATGCATATTGCAAATTCCCGCATTTGACACTCTGACTATATGAATTAACCTACACATTATGATCCAATGCTATCGAAATTGAGCTCGATACACACACTCACCAACCACACACATGTAGGCACACATGTTAGGTTCACGTCACTTCACCGCACCCACTTCGTCCCTTGCATTAAGTACCCGTAAGACATCGAATGAGCATGAAATTTGAATATGTGCCACCCCTCACTACGTCCTTTCATATGCCCGAAGGTTGTTTGGGAAAAATCTCGATGATGTTCAAGGGTGAAAGTGCGCACTTAATCATGAGTCACTCGACACATTTTTGGTGTTTTAAGCTCCGTTTGTATGTATATTGTTATTTTGCTTCCCGTATACATTCTCAAGCATGTTTTCTTGAAGTTTGCATATACCACATTCACAAACACGTGAAAGGCCATCAAATCCATATCGCAACACGTAGGCACATGGCTTGGTCACGGCATGTCACGGCACCCTACGTCCCCTACTTTACACCATTACTTGACATATCAAACGAAGTCCAATTGAATTGAAATTTGAGTATGTGTTAGACCTCATTGAATACTTTCATATGCCCGGAGATTGCCTGGGATAATTTCGATACTTTTCTATGATGTCCAAGGCCAAACATGCGCACTTGGTTATGGGTCCATTTTTTTTCATATGTGCATGTTTAGACTAATTCTCTTCATTTTTCATATGAGCACACCAATGAGTTATTTATGCCTGTTGAAGAAAGTTTGGGGGATTTGTGACATTCTTGCCTTACTAATCTCATTCCCTCTCTCGTTTTTCAAGAAGAAGTTTAATGACTCATATGTTTACAAACCTTGCAGGATGCCTCCTAAGAGAACTCTGCACGGGAAGGAAAAAGCAAGCTCCTCCACCGGTACAGCCCGTACTAGAGAGCTTGCGGGAAAAGTTCGGCAATTCTTAAATGCGAAAACCGCGATGCGGTATGAGAATATCATACGCCATTGGACTTTACACGCTGAAAGACCCGTTAAGCTTGATGACTTCCCAAATTTTGAGTTGGTCAACTTAGTTCAGATCTGTGGTTGGCACAAGTTGGTGGAGCGACCATATCCAATCTATGAGACTCTATGCCGAGAGTACTTCGCCAACTTCAACAGTGAAATGGACACGTCGGGTTCAGAGCATTTCCATTAGACTTGGGTGCGGGGGAAGTGGATTATGTTCTCTCTCGAGATCATTCATGATTACTACCAACTTACAGTGGAAAATGTGATCCCTATCCTAGTTGATTTTAACTGGAATGAAGTGGCCGAGTTTTTGATGGGGCGAAAAAATGCATGGCCCCTTGCAACTACCGAGTGGCATCAAATCGAGCTTACCCCATCCATAGCCATTCTATGGCTCTTCATGTGCCATAATATCAAGCCTATATCAGATAGGACTACATTCTCTGATCAGACAATAGGGCTTATCTACCACTTGGTTCGGGGTAACAAGATAGATCTCGCCAACCTTATTTACAACCAACTACACACATTGGGAACTTGGAGAGATCGTCGTTCCACTCTGATATTCCCTAGCCTCATTAGTGGTATATGTAGGGCTGCGGGTGTTACACTCCTATCTGAGGAGGTTCCTGAAAAATCCAGCCCAAAGATCAAACGCACTACATTTGATGCTCAAGAAAGGGCTCGAGTTAAACATAGGAAAGAGCAAGAAAATGAGCGCCATAGACGGCAGGCAGATCACAACCCAGCCCCTGCAGATCGAGAATACCCACAGGCTCCAGGACCACAGGCTGACGTGGATACTCAGTTGCTGAGACGGATATTCTTCACCACCACGGGAATCAGCCGAGACTTCCATAGCTTCCTTCAGGATTTCGGCGCCATGCAGATTGAGTCACAGGGTTTACAAAGAGACAATCACCTTGCACTAAATTACATCAGAGATGCCAGGGACGACTGTCAATTAGATAGAAAGAGTAATTGACGGCCAGCAAGTAATTAACATCAGAATTAGAGATGCTTTATATAGCTTTGTATATTAGTTGTAATTGGTAGAAAATTGCTCAGTTTCCATTCATGTACAGTGATAGCTAACATTCAGCCATGTAATTTTCCTTATTATTCCTATATATACAAAGGAACCCTCACAATGAGGATTATCGAGTCAAAAAAGAGAAATTGAATACCTTGACATGGTATCAGAGCTAAGGTCGGAAGTGTAGGTTAATTTCCAATCACCATCTTCTACGGTGACGGGAAACTTGTTTGAGATCCTCACAATCCGGTCACAAGTTGTTCCTGAATTTCTGGGCCTAAGGATTCCTAGTCGGGACTCCCTGTAACGACCGACCCTTGCTTGGCTCATCTCTGGTTGGTCAAACCTGCCGGCCTCTTCAGTGGAGATAGGTACGTGACTTTTGGCTTTCGCATCTGTCGACGGGTCCGGTGGAGGAAAAACCGTCGATCGCGTGATTAGAGGTTTGACATTAACCCCTGTGTGTTAGACTAATTAATCCATTATTTAATTGGGGTCTTAGAGTTTACTTGGGCTTGGTTTATGATTTTGGAGGGCTTAATCAATTTTGGTTCTTCAGAATTTTATATTTGGGGTTTCTGCTGGACTTTGGTTTTGCTGAATTTATATTGGGTCCTTTTTTTGCTAGTATAATTAACTACGTACATCATGTCGACCAACATGTCTGAAACTTTCAGTGTGCGATTCACGGGTAAAAATTATTCTACATGAGAATTTCAATTTTGATTATTCATTATGGGAAAAGAATTATGGGGTCACATTGATGGAAGTGACCTAGCTCCTACTGAGAATATTCAATTGGGCCAATGGAAAGTGAAAGATGCTAGGGTTATGACATGGATTTTAGGATCTGTTGATCTTATGATTGTCCTAAATCTAAGATCTTATAAGAATGCTAAAGAAATGTGGAAGTATTTAAAAAAAGGTCTACAATCAGGCCAATCTCAACATCCAGGATTACTTCTCTGGGTTTCAAAACTGAAGGGGGTGAATTTGCTGATATTATCTATGCTAAAGTACCAGTTGAATCTCTTACTGTCGTTCAAACTGTACACGAGCAAAGCAAGCGAGACCAGTTTCTAATGAAGTTACGTCCAGAATGAGGCAATTCGCTCAAAACTAATGAATCGTGATCCGTCCCTTTATTCGGATGTCTGTTTTGGGAAGTTACTTCGTGAAGAGCAGCGTCTTACAACACAGGCCACTCTTCAACATCAACTTATGACCTCAGATGCTGTCGCTTATGTAGCTCATGGGAAAAACAAATGGAGGGACATGAGAAAGATTCAATGCTTTAGTTGTAAGGACTATGGGCATATTGCTACTCACTGTACCAAAAAGTACTGCAATTATTGCAAGAAGTCGGGACACATTATCAAAGATTGTCCTACTCGACCTCAAAATCGTCAGGCTAATGCATATCAGGCTACTACCGGGCCATCGACTTCTAAGACATCATCTACTACTACCCAATCTGCTCTTACTCCTGAAATGGTGCAACAAATGATTGCGTCAGCTTTTGCTGCTTTGGGACTTCAAGGTAAACATAATACTTCATCTCAATCTCGGCTAGTTGATTCCAGTACCTCAAATCAGATGACCAGTCCCTCTGATGGTCTTCATGATATTCGCCCATATCAAGGCTCATCTCATATTCAAATAGCTAATGGGAGCCATTTAGCTATTAATGCTGTTGGTAACATTAATTCTGCTTTTCGATATATTTTTATATCTCCTAGTTTATCTACAAATCTGATTTCAGTTGGTCAATTAGTTGATAACAATTTTGATGTCCATTTTTCTCGTGATGGTGTTCTTGTGCAGGATCAGGTGTCGGGAAAGATACTAGCGGGGGGCCTAAAATTGGACGATTGTTTCCATTACATTTTTCTATTCCTAGTTGCTTATCTTTAGCTTGTATAACTGTTAACAATAAAAGTGAAGTTTGGCACAAACGTTTGGGACATCCAAACTCCACTATCCTGTCTTATTTGTTAAACTCTGGTTTGTTGGGTAATAAAAATAATTCTTCTCATAATTTGTGCTTTGATTGTTCTACATGCAAATTGGGAAAGAGTAAGACTCTTCCTTTTCCTTCTCACAGTAGTCATGCCAAAAAGAGCTTTGATATTGTGCATAGTGATGTTTCGGGCGTTTCAGCTATCACCTCTCTTGCCCAGTATAAATTTTTGTGACTTTTATTGATGATTATAGCCGATACACACGGATCTATTTTCTCCGTTTTAAATCTGAAGTACTTTCAGTTTTTCATACCTTTATGACATATGTTGAGACCCAATTCTCCACCAGTATTAAAATTTTATGATCTGATTCAGGTGGAGAATATATGTCCCATGAGTTTCATGATTTCTTAAAACAAAAAGGTATTTTGTCTCAACGATCATGCCCTTATACCCCTCAACAAAATGGGGTGGTAGAACGAAAAAATCGTCATGTACTGGATGTTGTTCGTACATTATTACTTGATTCCCATGTTCCTTCAACATTCTGGGTTGAAGCAGTGTCCACTGCAGTTTATTTAATCAATAGATTGCCTTCCCAAATTTTACGCTTTGACTCTCCATATTATCGCCTTCATAATCAACATCCTACTTATCATGACTTGCATACTTTTGGGTGCATTTGTTTTGTTCATTTATCTTCTCATGAACGACACAAGCTTTCTGCACAATCTGTTAAGTGTGCTTTTATGGGCTACAGCGTTTCGCACAAAGGTTATGTTTGCTATTATCCATGTTCTAATAGATTTCGCATATTTCGTAATGTTGTTTTCTTTGAGCAACAATCTTTCTTTCATACTCATGCTCAACATTTACCTGAAATTAGTATTCTCCCATGCTTTGACGATTTGACTTCTCATCCTGAACGATTCAAGCCCGGACTCGTGTATGAGAGACGTCAACCAAATAGGCCTCTTCCTGAAGTTGACCTCACATCTGATCTTGTCCAGCCCCTCTCTTCTGAGCCTGAGTTGGCATCAGATACTGATGTACCTCCTGATCCGGGTCATCGATGATCTACCCGTATTTCTCGCCCGCCTGATAGATATGTTTCTTTTCATTCATTTGCCACTACATTGACATCTATTCCTCCTAGTTATTCAGAAGTAGCTAAACATAAATGCTGGCGGAAGGCTATGGATGAAGAACTTCGAGCACTTCAGGATAATCATACTTGGGATGTTGTTCCTTATCCATCCAATGTCAAGGCTATTGGTTGTAAGTGGGTATATTCTATTAAGCTTCATTCTGATGGAACTCTGGATCGTTATAAAGCTCACCTAGTTGCTCTCGAAAATAAGCAGGAATATGGGGTAGATTATGATGAGACATTCGCTCTAGTGGCAAAGATGACTACAGTGCACACTGTTCTTTCTATTGCAGCCTCTCAGGGGTGGTCTCTTCACCAAATGGATGTCAAAAATGCTTTTCTTCATGGTGATCTCAAGAAAGATATTTACATAACACCTCCTCCGGGTCTTTTTTCCTCTTCTTCAAAAATATGTAAGCTGAAGAAGTCTTTTTATGGGCTGAAACAAGCTCCTCGAGCATGGTTTGAGAAGTTTCGATCTACTTTGTTACAGCTTTCTTTTATCCAGAGTTAGTATGACTCCTCCCTATTTCTTTGTAAGACATCTACAGATATTGTTCTTTTACTTGTGTATGTGGATGATATTGTTATCACTGGCACGGATTCTAGTTTGATAACTCAACTCAGCAGCATCTACAGGCTTCTTTTCACATGAAAGATCTTGGTCCACTTACATATTTTTTGGGTTTGGAAGTATACACTGATTCCACAGGTATATTTTTGAACCAATACAAATATATCCATGGCTGGTCTTCAAGATTCTTCTTCTGTCGATACTCCTCTGGAAGTCAATGTTAAATATTGTCGTGAAGAGGGTGATCTCCTTCCTGATCCGACTATCTTTCGTCAATTAGTTGGGAATCTCAACTACTTGACCATCACTAGGCCTGATATATCATTCGCAGTCCAGCAAGTCAGTCAGTTTATGCAAACTCCACGACATCTTCATCTTGTGGCAATTCGTCGCATCATTCGGTATCTCCAAGGTACTCCTCATCGTGGATTGTTTTTCCCTTTTGGGTCTCCTATTCATCTTGTTGCATTTAGTGATGCAGATTGGGTCGGCTGCTCTGATACTCATCGTTCTGTTACGGGCTGATGTATGTTTCTTGGTAATTCTTTGATCTCCTGGAAGAGTAAAAAGTAGGCACATGCGTCTAAATCTTCAACTGCATCTGAATATCGTGCTACCTGTTCTGAGATTATTTGGCTCCGTGGGCTTTTAGCTAAACTTGGCTTTCCTCAATTTGATCCTATACCCCTTCATGCAAACAACACGAGTGCTCTTCAGATTGCTGCAAATCCAATATATTATGAGCGTACAAAGCATATCGAAGTAGATTGTCACTCAGTTTGAGAGGCTTTTGACGCAAATATTATTTCTCTTTCGCATATCTCTACTGATCTACAGATTGTCGACATATTCACCAAAGCCATGACACGACAATGTCATCTCTTTCTTGTGGGCAAATTGATATTTCTTGATCACCCAGCATCAATTTGAGGGGGGATGTCAATTAGATAGAAAGAGTAATTGACGGCCAGCAAGTAATTAACGCCAGAATTAGAGATGCTTTGTATAGCTTTGTTTATTAGTTGTAATTGGTAGAAAATTGCTCAATTTCCATTCATGTACAGTGATAGCTAACATTTACCCATTTAATTTGCCTTATTATTCCTATATATACAAAGGAACCCTCACAATGAGGATTATCGAGTCAAAAAGGAGAAATTGAATACCTTGACAATGACAACTCAGTCATGCGACGGGAGATTGATACCATAAATGGCCGGCTGAACATGTATGTGGGCCGGGTGGACGGCATCCAGTTGCGGGTAAATGACACATGGGAAAACATGAGAGCCATCCAGGCCGAGCAGGCACAGCAGTCCGCCCTGATGAGCGAATGATACAGCAACTCCTTGGACGACACCCTCCACTGTCAGATGATGGCACATCAAGACCCAATTTCCCGCCACCTCATCCATTTTGATCAAGGGAGTACCGTTTAACCCATTTGTTTTTTTTCTTCATTTTGTTCTTAAAGTTATGTCTTCAATCTTTTGTTAATCTTCCATTGGGGACAATGTATTAACTAAATTTGAGGAGGGTGATATAATTTTAAATCTTTATCTGTGTTCATCATTATCTGTTTTCCATTACTGCATAATGTATGCATGACGAGTGTAAAAAAAAAAAAAAAAGAAAAAAAATTCTTTGCATTTTATTCAGTTTGTTTTATTCTCTTCATGCATGCTTGTGTGAGCTTGATAACCTTGTTAGCTGAATGATATTATTAGACTAGTTTAAACTGCAAAACTTTGGATCTGGTGTTAATGAGACTAACTAATACTTGTTGATGCAACATTTGACATTATCTATGCACGCTATTCATGCTTGACATATTAGGTGAATGACTGGATTTTGAGTATAAAGTAGGAGAAGAATGATAACCATCTATTGAGTTAACCCATGAATTACCTTAAGACGGTTTGGTGATGGTTGAGCTATTATAGGGAAGCATTGAGATGAGCGGGGGCTCCGTGCATGAACTTTATTGTGTGGATTGCCTAGACCAATGGAGTGAAGAGTAGGTGAAAATCTTAAATTGGGGATTGGTTTTGGAAACTAAATGTCTAGAAAAATAACAAAGGGCATAAAATTAATATGTGAGAATATAACACTTCTTTTCATGCTTTTATGACTCGAGCAAGTAAGCCTGTAAGGATATTTCAAAATCTGGTGCCCTAAAGCCAACTGGTTTAGGAGTCACCGACCTAAAGCTCGATACATGGGTCATATAGAAAGCAAGATGGAAAGAGGTTAATTAAAAGTTATCTGATCGAGCCTTTATAACTCGAGTGAATAAGCCTGCAAGGGTTTAAAACCTAGTGCCCTAAAGCCAACTGGTTTTGGAATTATCGGCCTAAAACTTGTTACATGAGTTATATAGAAAGTAAATGAGAAGATGATAATCAATCAGAAAAAATTAGAGAAAAGTGAGAAGAACAAAAAAAGAAGTGAGACAATAACATGACAAAAAGCCCTTGGACATTTGGTTGAAAAGACTATACCTCTGAGGCGAGGCAAGTAACCTAGTTTAATCTTGAGTGTTGAAGCAATCAAATTTAGGAGAGCCTTCACTTGTTGAAATGTAAACTTATGATAGTAAGACTAATCCAAACTATGAGAGAGTGAGGACTACAACTATGTAAATTCCTAATCTTAAAATACAACCCCGGGATAATTGAGTGAAAAGAATAAGTTTGGGGGATTGTGTATCTCTCGAGCGAGTAAGGATACATTTGATCACTCGAGGTCGGAGCTTAAATCCATTATGAACCTGATATGTTGGCATGAATTCACACACACACGTTAACTTGCATTTAACAGGTAAATGTTGATGTCATGTTTGCACAGATAAATTTTCATAAAGTCAAATACTTAGTCCAATCCTGAGCCACAACAGGGTATTAAGTCATGTTTGTTCAGAATTGAGTCACTATCTTGTTTGAAGACAAACAATAGTTCAAGTTTGAAGGGTTTGATAAGTGTGTTTTTGCATATTTATTTAGGTCACAAACATGACTTAATAATGAGCAAAATGATTGAATTGTAACTTAATCTCGTTACAATTGTAAATTGTAGGGAACACCGATGAATATGGTGAAATTTAGGAGAAAAGATGCGAAAAAAGACCAAAATGACAAAAAGTGGAAGTTCAGGGACCAAGGTGCAATTATCCAAAAGTTGACCCAATGAACAAATCGAGAAATTGATTTAGCCAAATGTCAATTGATGATATCTTGGGATGATGGAATAGAAAGAACGAAAAAAAGATGCCAAAAAGTGAAAGATTCAAGTAGAGGGATCAAAGTAGAGAAAATGGAAGTGAGCATCTACCATACGGCCGCATGGTAGATCTCCCTTGCGATCGTACACATGAGGGCAGGAAATTTTTTACGCAACATGGCATAACCATGCGGCCGCACAAATCATAACTATGCGGTCGCATGGTAGTTTTCTGAAGCAAAAATTTTACTTTCATTGTACGATTGAAACTCTTTTGGTAACAAAATTTTCACATGATATAAATACCAAAAGACATTCAGAACGAAGGGAATGCCGTTTTTACAAGTTTTTGAGAGATTTTGAAGGAGAAACGAAGAGAGATTCAAGAGGAAAACATCGCGCCAAGTGAAAATTCGATTGAAACTTGATTCGAGTGATGACGTTTCTTCAACTATTTTTATATTTTCTTCTTTTTAGCATGTTAGGCTAGATTTTTCATTGTTAGGAGATCGATGAACCTTGCAATACTACGTTTGATTTTTAATTTGGATATTTGACGTATTTAAACGCATGTTCTGGAATTGAATGATTTATTATGTTTTTATTTTCATATTGTTATTGTGTAGTAATTATATGATTTTGGTGGCCTGTTTTATGCATTCGAAAGAAGGAAAATAGGTTCGACATAGTATAAATGATCATAAGATCCGATAGGGGATAGAAATATACCTCTATGCCTTGTGTGAATTGTTGGATATTCTTGAAAATCATAATGCATTTCGGTATGTTAGTATTCGTCATAGAAATATAATCGAATCACATATTGGGGTAGGTTTGGTATTACTCGAGAGAGATTGATAAATTAAAATAGGAATATTAATTCTCTTTTGTGGGACTGTGTGTCAAATTTGCAAGGTTGAAAATTGAACAGGTATTGCTTGGGGATTCGTGATCCTAGTGCGTTAGTAACTTCATTAATTCCATAAATTCTAGTAAATTGTGTCTAAGTCATTTTGCATTTAATATATTTCTTTCATTCATAATTGCATCATAGTTTACATCTTCTTTAGCTAAATCACAATACATCAATTTTACTTTCGTGTTTCGGTTAAGGTCATAATAGGTTGATTTGAACTAATTCAATCCTTGTGGGATCGATACTTGGATTCATAGTCTATTATACTACTTGTTAACAAACCGTACACTTGTGATGAGTTTTGAATCGAAACAAATAATTTCATGAACATGTATTTTATTATTTTGGTCTTTTTCCCAAGAATTTATACAAAAAATCCTGTTAGTGGATGTTGTCCTTGTTGAATTGCGGGGAAATTTGATTCTAAGCCTGCATTTCATTTTAGTAGCAATATTTTATATGATTTAGCCCCAGTTTGGCCCCCATTGATTTTGATTATAATGGGGGGAATGGTGTTTTCTTTGAAAAATAAATGGTTGTAAAAGAATAATTTTTTTTTTCGATTTACGTGTAATATTATTTTATTGTAGATTGTGTGGTTGAAAATATGAGAGAGAAAAATTCAATTTAATTTGATAAGATGTAACGGGGACCAAATGAGGGCTTCAAATGCATTATTTTATCAGTGCTCTTTGGTGATGTCCAAAATCACAATGGATTCCTACTTTACTCTTAACGATATTGGTCTACGAGTCTTTATCATACCTACATGATAGAGTCATGATTATAGAGTGCAATAAATATTAGGTCGAGATATAGATATTATACTTATGAAAGTTTGGGGACAGCAACGAATCCCCAAAATTTCCCCAAATTTGGTAAGTAAAACATTAATAGGCAATAATTAACTTTAGGGATAATTACAGCAGAGGCCCCAAACTTTTAAAAAATTAGTAGGCTTTTTCCAAATTTTTAATTTATTGCAACCGTCACCCAAACCTTTTGAAACGTTGCAGTGGGCCCTTTTGAACAGTTTTCATCTAATTATCTGTTAGTTGACTAAAAAAATTGACTTTGACCATATTTTAAATATTTTAAAATGTTAAAATAGCAACTTTTCATTTCCTACATTAAAATAATTTTTTTTTAAAAACCCTCCTCTTTTTCTCATTCCCCTCTGTAATTTTGGCAGTAATATCTGCAATTCCATGTGTCAATAGCCGTTGAAACTCGAGCAAACATCGAGCTCCTCTTCACCGTCTACCATTTCGTTTGTCATTAGCCTATTCTATACATATATTTTTATATGTAACTAAGCATACACGTACACAAAGAAAATGGAAAAGATGCGAAGGTTTTTCTTCATTGGGAGATGAGGAGCAAGTTGGGAAAGTAGGCGGCTTATATTTATTTGTCAATGGTAGATTCCGAGTGTGTGAGGAATATTAGAAGACTTGGGCAAACACATTAGCGAACTAGGCATTCACTTCCTTTAAAAACATTCTCTTGATCTTGATTTGTATGAACACTTTTCACTCTCTGCAATTTGTACTGTGAGATCCTTAATGATGAAATGGATCTGGCTTTATGGTGAGGTATTTATTTGTGCACATTTTCAAATCCCTGCCTCTTTTGATGTTACCTTCTTCATCTTCTTCTTTAGGTGTGGGTATGGGGGGAGAAGAGGAGGGTTATTTTTTCTAATTTAATTTTTAACTTATTTTAATGTAGTAAATGGAAAGTTTATATTTTACTCTTTTAAAAATATGGTCAAAGTCAAAATTTTTAATCAACTAACAGATATTTGGATGAAAACCGTCAAAAAGGACCCTACTGCAACGTTTTGAAAGGTTTGAAATAACATTTGAAACAAATTAAAGATTTGAAAAAAATCTTTTAATATTTTAAAGGTTTGGAGCCTCAATTATCCCTTAACTTTATTATATTCGCACCACATTGATTATTAACTAACGAAGTTATAATTCTAATCAAGGTCCTTAACTTTTGCACTTATGTCTCCAACTTCTTGTTGTTGTATTTTAGTTTCAACTTTATTTTAATTAGCATATTTTATTCCAAATGACGACCAAAAAAAGGTGTGATTCCATGATTATATTCACAAAACATTTTTTAATAATAAATACACCACATTTTAATTATATTAAAAGATATTAACTTGTATTCATTATCACATCTATATTCTAAACTTTTTTCATCAAATTTTTAGGATCAGATATTTATCCACATTTTGGATTATTTTTTTTTCTTTTTTCTTTTTTTGGCTTATTTAAATAGAGTAGGCAAGTGAGACTTTTTACTTTATCTTAAAGAAAATTTTGGAGAGAAATCATAACCATGAATAATTAATGATAATTTGAAAATAAAAATGCGATTAAATTTTTTTTTTTTTTTGAAACATAAATATTATAGTGGGTAAAGATTATGAATTTTTCATACAATTAAAATGTAGTTTAATAATTACAAAATGTGGTGCCATTATATTTAACAACCAAAAAATCCATTATGATAGATTAAAGATTTATTTGTCCTTAGTATTTTGAGTAAGATAAAAAGACAAATACATAAGCTCGAGACAGTATATGTTAATATAATATTTGGATGAAAATCGTGATAAAAGATAAGATGTGTAAATCATTGAAGGTTTTAAAGTTAAAAAATTTGACCAAAAAATGTTAAGATATTAATGCATAAAATAGAAAATTGTTGAAAATTAGTGCAAAAAATAGAAAATTTTGGGGACGTTTCGTTATTCTTAAAACATTAATCACTAATAATTAACTTTAGAAAATGTCCATTTAAACAAATTCACCAATTTCCCTCATTTTGTGGATTTCCCTCGTTGTGTTGGTTTACATGGAATTCAGAGGATAGAACTGGAGTTGGTGAAACAGAATTTGGAATCTAATCTTTTCCCATTTCCAATTTTAAGCTCTAAATTCCGATAATCAAAAGTTCGAATATTTGACCGTTTACGAAAATCACTTGGAGAAATCTTGGTTAGGGCGTTGGAAATGGTATGATTTTCTCCAGAATCTGCAAATGATTAATATGAGGTATGGGCCTTAAATTTCTTTTCCTCCTTTCACGTGAACGGGGAATGGTTTTAATAAGCTACTAATTTTTCGTTTGTTATCGTTCATGTTCGTCTATAATTTTATATTGATGATATGAATTATATTGCTTTAATTTTGCCTGCATCATACGTATTTTGTTTGTGCAGCGTATAATTTGTAAAATAGCATCTATGTTGGAATTGAATTCAGGAATCTTATTGTAATGTCGATAGAATCATAATCACTAATGACCTCAGTTAAAATATTAGCTTTCTGGAGGCTAGGTAAAGTGACAACTTATAATTCCCCACAAAGATAACTTTTTTGGATATAATTTAACAAAATTCAAGAAATAATTACATTTCATCTATGTAGGTCTCAAAACTTAGGAATACACACACATTCACCCTATCAGGGAAGTGTGAACTTATAACTTTGGGGATGGAGAAGGAAGCATACTCTATTCTATGATTTTAACTTAATATAGGCTTCTACAAACATTTTCTTATTCTACCTGGAGATGCTTGATAAATTTATATACAATTTGCTTTGATTACCAATCGATCCTACCTCATTTGGAAGTTCAGTTTCTTGATGCAATAGGCAAATAAGAATGCGAAGAAGACCGTGAAACCAACCAACACTGCGGCAACTGGTCCTTTAAAGTTGGGATCATAACCAAAATGATCTTGAATATAATTTTTAATCATAGGGGCGGAGGACATCCCAGGCACTGTAATGGTTTCCTCCATGTCTCCATACTGGCCTATAATCAGTCCGTACACTGTCCATGCCACTGGGCAAATCCAGTAGTACCATACCCACCATTTGGGAATACTCTGAAATTTCAAGAGGGGAAAATTTCAAAAAATGTGCTCAATTTGAAGATCATCATTAAACTTTAATAATTTTGACTGAAATAACTTACTGGTCTAGGGATAAAGAAACCAGAGAATAGATTGAAAAGTGCATAAAAAGCTGCTGCAAAGATTGCTGCCACTTGGTGGTTTGGCGTGATGGAGACAGTCATCATTCCATAGTATGTGAAGTAGAGGAAGGAAAAGAAGTTCACAAAGAAGAACCAAAAGAATTTAGCAGCTGTCCACTGAAAGCTCACCATAGCGTACACTATAAGAGTATAATACGTAGTCTGAACAAGGACATATGGTATTTCTACAATGACCTGCAAGTAATGTAACCAACAAACTAATATTAAATTGATTTAGCTTTTTTACTACATGTATGTTCGGGCATTCATTAACTTCATTTTGAGAAGTCACAAGTTGATCTCTCATGCTATGAAAAGTATGTTAAGATGAAGATAATTCGAATGAGAAATTAAATCTTGACCTGTGCGATGGCATATGGCAACGCTGAGTACATTCCTGCTGCTCTTTCCCTATAGAATACAGTTCTTTCGATGGCTACTATTGGCTGTACGGTTGAGCAGTTATTGATTCCAACAAACAACACAGAAGTATACATGGCCCCAATGATAGTCAAAAGATCTGCACTACTTTCCCTGAAGCCACAAAATAAGAAAGTAGGAATCAACACCGTGGCATTCAAGTCTTGTTACTGATACTTTTGAAATAAATTCCTAGATAACCTAGATTTAGAGTATGAACCTTTTTGTGCCAACTCTCCAGAAAATTGTCCCTACCATGAGTGCACAAGCCAAAGTGAAGAAGTATCTCACTAGATTATAATCAGGAGTTCTCCAGTAAGTCCACCATTGCTTCCAGAGGCAGGACTTGAATTGACCCCATGTGGCTTGAGAGTACTGTGTGGGAAAATATAGGTCTTTTGCCCCAGGAGGGGGTGTACTCAACTCTTTCACTAGAGCCTTATTTCGCCTGGGAATGGACATCGCTACACCATGTCATAAAAGACCAAATGAAACAAAAGTTGAAGGAAATGTATAGAACTTTACCATTTTGTTCATCCATCTTGGAGCAAACATCTCATTTACTGCGATCGCATTGTAACCATAGCTCAGGGGTGAAACCCAGTAACCCCACCTCCACCAGACTGGAATTTTTTCTGCATGAAAGAAAAATTTCCTAGTGAGTTGGATGTTTCATGTATCTTGTTAAATATATATACCGTCAATCAAAATCCCTTTTTTTACTCTTTTGTTGTTTTGTTACACTCCCTTTGTCCTTGTCTATAGACGAGAGATTGGTTATCCACTTAGAATACTTTTTTTCAGCTTTTACTTTGAAAACTTTGTGGTTTCAAGTTTTAAAAATATTAAAGAATAAAAATTACTGATTTCTTTGAAGAGAAACAAAAAACAAAGAAATAAAGATATCATCTGATACATAATACATTCCTGCTGTTGATACAGAAGCAATTGTAGGAGTGCTAAAATAATCGAGTTCGAAGGTTCATTTTCAAGTCATTTAGGAATAGGCACGCATTATACAATTTACTTTCTTATTGCGCTCTTTCTGTCATTAGCATTACATACTGTGCAAAATTATAATGTGTTTTGCAATTCATAGTTGGGTTTTTGTGCTTGAACTAACCTCTAGGAAGGATGAAACCACCCAAAAGGAACACAAGCAGAAGGGTAAGAGCACCACCAGTGTTTGAGATAATCATGGTCCTGCATATTGCTGCAGTGAACCTGAATATTCCCCCTGCCATTTGCTGGATCACAAATATCAACAATAGTTGCTTGAAGAACCTGAAATGTGGCAAAAGATTTCAGTATCACTCATATTTACATTGCATGTAAGCAATTATCTGTTTTAGAAGAAAAATAAGTTAATATCAATAGCACAAGATTTAGTATGGCTTTCTGCTATATTTCTCTTTCATTGCTTTAGGTGGCTGCCAAAGAAAATGTATATATTATCGTTTCTTCCCTGGCCTACATGCGCCTCATTCCATGTACTTTGGGTTGACATGAGATGTTTATAGACTGCTGACAACTTTATACTGTTATAAGTTTTATTCTTCCCAGCAGCCATAAGTATGTAATTGTATCCTTCGCCTTAGTACCGGATTGATTACATGCATACTAAATTGCATTTACTTCTACATTAATGCAAATTCTGAAATATTAGTATGGCTTAGCTCTGTCAAAAAATTGGGTTTGATAGTTTGAGTCAATACTTCTCAATAGGTTTGCAATTATGTCCATTAAATTATCAACTTTTAACTCAAGATAGTCCTGGTAATTTCATATAATTATTGACTCGGTTAGCTAAGTGGAAATAAGATGTAAGCAAACATAAATGTATAGTTAGTTACCTGCTAGCTTCGGGGGCAAATCCAATGGTGTAGTATGCAATGACCATCCACACAATAGTCTCAAATATTGATATGGGTATTTTTAGTAGAATCGTTGGCAGGGTGAATGCCCAGGGTGGATGGAAAAGAAGGTCCCTCTGCTTGTAGAAGACGGGAAGTCTCTGTATGGCGAGAGAGAGCTCAGAGAAACCATTGAACGTATTGCATATCATGCTAAACAATAGTGCACCTATGTATACAGCACCATCATTTTCATTCCTAGTGTGTAATTCAGTTCTCAAAAAGACGGTAGATGTGATGATTGCCACAATGATGATTTGGACAGTCTTGAATACATAGACGAAAGAATTTCTTTTGATCAATAGCCATTCCTTGTCGAAGTTGGCTTTGAGAAGTTCTCTTGTCGGGACTGAGTACTTTTTAAACACTAGAGCTGCCTTATGACTTCGGCTCTTGTCATAAGGAACTGAGAGTTCATTTTCAAGGCGAAGACCCACATGGAAATGCTTGAATCTTTTTGCGAACTCACTTACTGGAATGTATGTGTATGGTTTGCTTCGGTCTGTCCAATATTGTTCCTGATCTTTTCTTGATGTCACCTCTTGCAAGAAATCGGCAGTTCCCTTTCTCTCTGGACACTTGAATCCACAGCTCTCAAAGAACTCAAGGACGTGCTCTCGTGGACCCTGATAGACAATCTGGCCTTCTGATAAGAGAATGATATCATCGAAGAGTTCAAATGTCTCTGGAGCTGGCTGGAGGAGAGACATCAAGACGGTTGCTTCAGTAAGGTGTACAATTTGTTGCAAGCACTTTACTATCTGAAATGTTGTGGAGCTGTCTAGACCCGTTGATATTTCGTCCATAAACAGTGTTTTGGTTGGCCCAACAATCATCTCCCCTGTATCAACAAAGGTAAGAATCAAAGTCTTAACACATATAGTTATGATGCTAATTTCATTTATTTTCACATTACATTTAGCTACATATATCTATTATTCAACTAATATGTTCAGAATTGTCTTTTATCCAAGTCATATAGATCTCCTGTTTGCTGCATTATCTTTTGGAGTTTGGTTAGATTATGGCCTTTATTTCTTCACATTCTATATTTCTCCTACTGTTCCAATGATTTGGTTGTAAATAAATAAAAATATTACACGTAAAACACGGGTCGGGCCATCACTTGGGTTTTATAAGTCTATGGAGTTTCTTGGTCCACTTCAGGCTCAACATGGGTCGAGAAATTTGGGCAATGCATAGTCAATTTTAAATAGAAATGCTTTAATTTGTTGGCATTGGCCACAAACAGAATGTGTATTTAGGTCGGTTTTGTGCAGATAAGGTTAGGCAATTCCACTTAGGCTTTGGTCAACAGATTCATAGTACCGCTATGTGTCATTTAACATATTAATTTTTCAAGTCAATTGAAATATAAGTGGTTTCAGTTCATTACCAGTTGTGACACGTTTCTTTTGTCCTCCAGAAATCCCTCGTATCATTTCATCCCCGACAATTGTGTCTCGACACATGTCAAGCCCCAATATCTGCATCACATAATTTAAATATTATTAATATATCTATGCATGTGTGTGAATACATGTATAGTAATTCGATGATGCTTTTTTTTTCTTTTTTTCTTTTTTTTTTTTTTAAAAGTTGATTGGGATTTTCGTTCACCAACCATAACATATAATTGCGTAGGCCCCATTCAGAGAACCAAAATTTGAAAAGTAACCACTGGGTCCCACAGTATCCACCCAACAAAAATATGGGTCCCATGGCAAAGTAGGTAAGGAGAAAATTTTCACCTAGAAAGAATATTTATTAATATTAAAAATATGAAAAATATGGAATCACCACGTTCACGTGATATTATTAATGTTCTTACACTGTTATTAGAATGGACAATCATGAAGTGATAATTAATTCTTATAAATTATTTAGATGTCGGCAATTTAGTTATTTAATCCCAAAATTTATTTTTTATGACTTAATTAAATTTGATTAAGTCTTACCCTAAGAGTATAGTCTGTAATGAGACTACTCTCAACTCCTTCTATTGCAGTTGCCTGATAGAAACAAAAATAAATGGCAGAATGTTAAATTAAAACATTAAAATCTTTGACAAAAATGGAAAATTTAAATTTAAATCGTTCTTTAATTTTTTTATTTTTTATTTTTCATTACCTTCATAAAAAGATCAACCTCTGCCTCGGGAAAGATACCGGCATCCCTTTCTCTTTTTGCAAGCTCAGTCAAAAGTTCTATTTTAATTTTGATAGTTAGAACATAATTATTTCCATGAAAAATTACAATAAAACTTATATTGAATTTATCTACAATTACCGTATCGGGATCCAACTCCTTGACACCTAGCTGAGAAATCCAGGGTTTCTTTGACTGTCATTTCTCCTACATGAATATCATTCTGGCTAATGTATGCTGATGTTTTCTGAGGGACAAATTCATTGAGTTGATGCCCATTATATGTGATTTCTCCCCTTGTCTGTTCCACATTAAATTTTTTCAATGCAAAATAAGTTAAAAGAGTCTATCAATAACATTCATGGATAATGTAGGTATGGATTTCACTGACCTTTAGGGTCGGGTCTAACTTTCCGGCCAGAGCTAACAAAAGTGTTGTTTTCCCGGACGACGGTGGCCCTAATAGAAGTGTCATCCTACAAAATGTAGCCGATAGAAATACATCAAGATTAGTAAACATGGTATTTGAATGTGATTTTTGGCTAAGCAGTTTAAGGAATAAAGAAAGTAGCTATAATTAAGAATGACAATCTTGAGACGTAACAATTTTTTGAGCAATGAAATTACCTAGACGGTTTTATGATCCCAGAAGCATCTTTTAATATTGTGAGTTTTGTTTTCTCAGCCAGTCTGATGCCGAAACAAGTTAATGCTGTCTCAACGATATTACGAGCAGCGTTTGGTAAAGTCGGAAGAGCTCTGTCGCCTACGAAGCAATCGGCCTCCACGGTTAAGTGTTCATATCTCACTTCTACTGTAGGAAGGGTAATTCCAACTCTGTAATAAAAATAATTAATAACTAAATATGAAATGAAATTATAGTCATATTGATTACTAAGTCAAGCATACAGGTTGTAATTATAAAAGTAGCTTATATTTAACAATTGTTTGCTTGTACTTTTGTTATCACTGATTACACCGTTATAGCGTACGTCATGGGGTCGTTTTTGAGTAATTATATTGTAATACTTTAAAATTTTGCTGGTGAACTGTTGAAAATCTTGAGCGAATCATTCCTTTTTACACTGCACAGTAAATTAGCCTTGTGAAATTATGCTTTTTTGGTTTCTTTTGGGTGTTTGCTTGCTTTTGCTGCAATAAATTGTTAGTGATTTATTATATTCTTGAAAACTACTTACTCATAATCAAGCGTAAAACATAATTAACAACACTTAAAATACAAGACTTTGCTCTTACATTTCAATGTAAGAAAGGTTATCCTTCATTTTCTATTTGCATAAGACAGGTAGAGTTTACTCAAGAATTACAACTTAGTATTAATTAAACAATTGAGGACATAGATAGAAAAGGTTACCTGTCAATTCTGTTCCTAAACTTCCTCAAAAACTTTTCGTTATCTTCCTCAGCAACCTTGAAAAGCCGGTCGATAAATTCTTGTCGATCATTCATGTCAAGTTTTCTCACATCAACCTCCTTGTGCACAACCTTACTGGCTTGATTCGCAGTTTCTTCGAAGGATTTTAGGACAGTTTTTCTTAATCTGTCGTAAGTTGGTAACTTTTCGAGAGCAGCCCATCGTAGAGCTTCTTCATCTTCCTCGGCTCGAGCACTCCGCCTATTCGTGGAGCCGGAAAAAACATCCTCCACATTCCAGTTAGCCCTACTTAGACTTCTCCCAATGCTTCTGCTCATACTCCGGCTTGTTTGTCTTCTTGAAGCCCGCATTTTATCGTCCATTTTCCCTTCTGCTTACTTGAACTTTAAACCAAAAACACAAATTACTAGTAGCATAATATTTCTCGAGAAAATCGAAAAAATATATAATAGGAACATCAAAACATATGAAATAAAATGCTTACCTTGTTTAAGTCAAAAAATTGTCAAGTGTATGCACTTCTTCTTCTTCCTTGAACAGATATATAGACAAATAAACTGACCTTCAGACGTAGAAATAGATAACTTGGTAGAGAAAGAGGAAGTTGTTGGGGTATTGAAATATATGAAAATCTCTATTATTATGCTTTGATCCTTTCTATACCAGTTGAAAGATTAAAACTGGTTAAGATCAATATTTCTAGGAAGTTGTGCGTGGCTTCTTATATATAAGCACTCACAAGAAAGAGTGGAATAGAGTGGGGTGGGGGTAAGTGGGTCCACTAATTCGACACATACATATCTTATCTTCATATCATTGTTTTCTATTTGTTATTTTGTTAAAATGCTGAAGCAAGCAACCCTAAAGGGCTAATATTGATCCTTTCGGTGAACAGAGACGGGCATAAGGGTCTGGATTGAATATATTCAAAGAAAAACAGCTGAAAACCATATTCAATTTGCATTTGTGGTTTGGTGAGGAAAGAGTCAACACATTCTACTGCTGGTTTCCAGGAAAGTAAGGATGTTCTTGCAAGTTGCGTAAGCCGGTTCATACTACCCCTGTTTGATCCTTATTAAATTACATTCCATTACATTCTATTTTTTTCTCTCCTATTTTCAACTACACAATCTTTTATAAAATAATATTACACGAAAATAAAAAAATTTCCATTCTTTTTCAACTGCTCATTTTTTCAACAAAACACTATTCCCCCCATTTTCATTACCAAAAATGGGGAATCTCGGTTTTATTATTATTTTGAGAAATAGATGTTAAGTAGCTAATCTTTAAGATTTTATGTGAAATAGAGTTTTATTAGTTAAAAAATGATGTAACAAATGCGTGTTAAATCTAAAGAAAATATTTTTCTTTATCGCAAGTTTGAAGTTGACACGTGTATTTTTGTTATTTGTGTTACTTTATAGTTTTTTTTTTTTTTTTTCCCTGTGGATAAATGTGGTTTGGAGGGTGTGGTTCCAACCCAATATAAGGTTTTGTGGGTAGAATTGCTTGTTAAACTATACATTTGTTGACTTTTATCTATAAAGGAAAATGATTTTATTTGAAATGAAATGTGAACGTGTTAAATATATAAACCACTTCCACGTGCCGCTGAGGAAGGTTTTGTCGGCATTAGAAGAAAAGACTGACCATGGCATTTTAACTTTTCTTAGTTACGTATAGCTGAGAAAAGGGGGACGAATAGTATATATTAAACTCCTGTTTGATTGAAATTAAAACTAACAATTTATTTTAATAACACATTTTGTTATATCTGTAATTTTTTAAACACACATTTTATTAATTTTTATTAAAATATATTAAAAATCTGATTTTAACCCTAACATATATGGACTAAATTATCAAAGCGAATTGTAATGATTATGGGCTTGCTCAGTAGTGATTTTGAGAATTAATTTTTTGACCGTTAGAAAAAAAGTGGGGATTACCTGTAAGAGAAGAAGTAAAAAAATTATGGCTAAAATAGTTAAATAACAGTTTAAAAAAATCAATTTTTTGAGGTAAAAAATCACTCCCAAAAGAGGCCTATGTTGGGTTTGCGACCCAAATTATGGTGAATTTTTTTTGGAAATAAATTGTTTCCTTATATTTCACGTTGTTTTTAGGGAAATATATTATTTCCTTATTCCATATTATTATCATCTTTATGCTATGCCATATAATTATAAATAGTGGTATTCTTTTTCAGTTTTGTTCAAGCAATAATTGCTTGTCGATTAATAAAACGTTGTGCTTCTGCGATTAACTTTTTTTGTTAATTTCTTTACTTTTAAATATTGTTTCACGTTGCGATCTTCGTTACTTCATATCGTTTTATTAATCTCATTCACTACAATCCTTCCGAATCCAATAAGTGGTATTAGAGCTTTGTTCTTGTTGTAGATTGGTTGAGGTTTTTCAGATGTGACTGTTTTGAAGTAGGATATTCCGCAATTGAATCGCAATACAAGGTTTTCTTTGTGGCAAATAAAGGTGAAAGTTATTTTGGCACAGTTGGATTTAGATGATGTGTTGCTGGATTTTGAGAAAATGCTAGCTAATTGGACAACGGAGAGATCGGAAAGCTTTGTCGTTGATTCATCTTCATCTATCCAACTATATTTTACAGGATATCTTGAAGGAGAAAATATCAGTTGCTTTGTGGTTGAAATTAGAGCAGTTATGTATGACCAAGAGTCTTACCAGTAAACTGACTCTAAAGCAGAAGCTGTATTCCTATCCCATGGTGGAAGGAGAGTCGTTGGAAGACCATATTGCCGTGTTCAATGAAATTATCGTAGATTTGGAAACGTTGGAGATTAAGTACGATAAAGAGGATTTTGCCTTAATCTTATTATGTTCGTTGCTTGGCTCTTATGAGTCGTTTCGGGATACCATTTTGTATAATCGAGATACTTTGACTATAGACAACATCTATGATGCTTTGCACTTAAAGGAGAAGTTGAAGCATTTGGTTGAAGCAATATCGAGGGATGAAGAAGCTCTGGTATCTCATGGTGATCGACGGAGGGATAGATCGAGGATGAACTTCGACAATTTATACTGCTTCTACTGTAGGAGAAAGGGACATATTCAAAGAATTGTGATAAGTTGCAAACTAAATGTGATTTAGCTGCAAATCGTGCAGCGCAACCTTTGACTTCAGATGAAACAAATGTAGTTGAGAAATTTTCAGACAGTGGAGATGTGATGTTGACCATGATATTTGACGTGGAATCTAAGCCTGACGAAGAGTGGATTCTCGATTCAGCATGTTCGCATCATATGTGTTCCAATCGAAATTTCTTTCAGACATATAAAGTTGTTCAGCAAGGCGGAGTTGTAATGGAAAACATCCAATCTTACCGTATTGCTGAGATTGATCGAATCAGAGTTAGGATACGGGATGGGACAGTTAGAATAATTGATCAGGTTTGACATGTTCCAAACCTGAAAATGAATCTCATCTCACTTAGTACTCTGGATGCAAAATGATATAAATTCTCTAGTGGAGGTGGAGTTTTAAAGGTCCGAATGGATGTCCGGGTTGTATTGGAGTGATGGAAGAAATCTCAGTTGTACATCTAGTAGGGAAGCGCAAAACCAATTAAGAGATATCGGGACAAGTTCAGTACCGTGCTGGATGCTTAGTTTGGTACAGTACCTCTTGTGATGGGCTTTGGATCGATTTAGAACATTGCTCAAAGGAGTATTGGTGATTCCATTTTGCCACCAATTTCAACGAATACATTGTGTTCATTTGCTAAGGTTGAACTCATGGAACGTAGGTACCGTGGTGTCAATAATGTCTGGAACGTTTTTGGGGACGTTGAGGGCAACAGTTATAGCAAGGGGCCTTTTGATCCAGCATGTGGTATGGTTTCTGCTATATGTGTGCTTTGACCCTGTTTGGTCAACAGTAAATCCGAGATGTAATTTTGGAAACTCAGGATTTGGTTTCTGGTGTTGCTTGTGGACGGCTTGCAGAGGACGACGGTTTGGTTTGGAGAGTTTTAGTTACTGTGTTGAGGAGATTGACTATTTCGATGAAGACGGATTTGAAATCTTGGAGTTTCATTCGTTGCACCAAAAGGGTCAAGGTAGAAATTATTGGGTTTGTGACCAAAATTAGGATGTATTTTTTTTTAAATAAATTGTTTTCTTATTTTTATATGGGAAAATTTGTTTCCTTATATTTCACGTAATTTTTATGGAAATATATTATTTCCTTGTTTCACATTATTTCAATTTTTATGCTATGCCATATATTTATAAATAGTGGTATTCTCTTCCAATTTTGTTCAAACAAGATTGTTGAGTGATTATATTTTTCTCTATATTGTCGATTAATAAAACGTCGTGCTTCTGCGATTAACTCTTTTTGTTAATTTTTTTACTTTTAAATATTATTTTTTGTTGCGATCTTCATTACTTCATATTGCGTCATTAATCTTATTTGCTACAATCCTTTCGGGTCCAAAAGATTAATGGTTTAGTTATAAGAGTTATGCACAAATTTGCATGAGGTCATGTCACTTATGTAGATTAGTTGAAATCACATAAATTTTTGAATATTTGTTTTTAAAATTTAAAATTTGTTTTTTCACATTTCTCATATTTGTACTGACATTTTTCACTTTTTGTCTTCTACCTTCTCTGAGGTTCCGTATTTCATCATTCTTAGCTCCGCGTTCATTCTCCTTCTCATTCTTTTTCTTTCTCTTATTTTCAACTACACAATTTTCTATAAAATAATATTGTATACAAATTTAAAAAAATTTCGTTCTTTTTCAACCACACATTTTTCAAAAAAATACTATTCTAACCATTAAAATTTAACAAGAATGAAGGCCAAACGGGGCTTAATATCTAGATTTGTCATTTGTCATTTCAAGAAGTCTCTTTTTATGGCATATATTATGGATCTATTTTCATCAATATTATGTTGTTTGAAATTTTTATAATTTAATTTTTGATCCTAAAATAAAGAATGTCCGACTCCTCTTTCAATAATTTATTAACAATAAACTATATTTATTTTGGGGTATTTGATAGGCATTTTTATGTAAAAATACATTTTAGAAAAGTAAATTGATGTGAAGTGTGTGGTTGAAAAATAAGGACAAATTTTTTGTTTACGTGTAATATTATTTTAATAAAGAATGTGTGGTTGAAAAGAAAAGAGAAAAATATATTTTACAGAAAAATGGCTTCCAAACGAGGTATTTGTTGTAGCCATTGACAATTAGCATACAACGTAAAAAAGGTCGTGTCTTACAAGACTATTTGGAGCTTTGGCGACTTTAAAATTATGTAGAAAATAGGGGTATTGATATCTAATAATTCTATGGTATTTTTCAACTTCATATATTTTACTATATACCCTTGTTTGATTCAGCTAAATAAGCTAATGAAAATCAAAGTGAAAAATTATGTATTAATTCTAACCACATATTTCATGAGATTTATAACTTTTTAATCATATATTTCATTATTATTATTTAATTAAAATATGCTAAAAAATTGATTTCAATCAAAACCAAATAGGGGCTAGATTTTTAAATTAATATATTACTGCAAACTGATATTTTTATATAAATTATAATATTTGACGAATATAACACATCATCTACACATATGACAATATTTGGTACATTTTACCATCATATACTAATGGTATGGAAGTCAAATGGGAGTCAAGCGTGGTTGACATGAAAAATTA